ACAATCAGCGATCCTATCAGGCATGTGTATCTGTGTTTACTGCACGGTTGAGAAAACCAAGGGGCGGGGTGGGACTGACAGAGAGATGCCCGCTGTCTCCATCAAAGGATGTGATGGGTCTTTTGACGCCAGACTGGAACACAAAGCAGAAGGCAAGTATCAAGGAGGCCCAGGCCTCCCAAACCTGTAGGGCCCTGAGGACATGTCCAGATGCCTAGAGAGAGCATTCCACCAGGTAGAATTGCCACAGACCATTTTAAGAGGTTATTCACTTCTCTGGAGACTCCGCATTAGTCATGGCTGGTGACCAGTTTCAGATAAAGGTTATAGGACAACACCAGCACACCTGTGAGCACTGACAGTGAGACCTGGTGAACTGAAGGTCTGTGCGCTGTCCGTCTGCAGGAAGGCACCGCAGGGCTGCCCAAAGTCAATTCCTACCTAATAGGCAGGGAGGTCTCAAGGCGCTTGCCATGTCACGCTGCTAGTGAGGGGCAAGCCGCTCCTTGGATCTCTGGCCACGTGATTCTAAGCCTTGTGCTCTTTGTACTTCACCAGGTAGAAGGATGAGCCTCCCCGGCACTCACTTGCTCTTGAACCTTATGGGCAGGTGAGTGCCAGCACCAGGGAAGCCCAGTCTCACTCTCTTTCTTCCGTTTTAACTAAATTTGGAGGAATATTCTCCTTTGGGGGTGCCCCCTTACAGAAAGGATCCTGACAAACTTGCACGCATGTAGAAAAAAGAGAGAGTCGTGCGAAGGTCATGGAAATGCTGATATATTAGAACTGAGCATGTCTGGCCTGGGAAGGCACGATCTCGTGGAGATGGAACGACTAGCTTCAAAAACAGGAAGGCTATCGTAGAGAAGAAAAATTAGACTTTTCAGAATGGCACTGGAGGGCAGAAGTTGCTGATCAAGAGATTCTTACTTAATGCAAGTAAGAAGTTCTGAATAACCACAGCTACCCTAAAATGGAATAATATGCCTCATTAGACAGTGAATGCAATTGATATTAAATGTATTTGAACACAGGGAAATGACTACTGGAGCTTTTACTGCCTTTCTTCTTCTAGTAAAATAACCACCTTCCTCCCGCCATAAAGTTTAGCGAGGATCACAGCTGCTCGCTTTTCCCATCCTGCCTCGTAGCTGGGTGCGGCCATGCGACTGAGTTCTTGGTGCGGGGATGTGAGCAGGAGTTCAGCACTTTTTGTATCCTTGCTTACAAGGACCTCACTGGTCCTCACTTCCCCTCTCTCTCTTCCTGTGTGCTGGAATGAGAGACGGCCGAGCTAGGGAACTTTGCCTACAAAGGCAAGGACAACAAGGCAAAGTACAGCAACAAGATGGCTCCTGGAATCACCTGCTGGCCCTGGGCCACCTGCCTACGGTTCCATGAGTGAGAAGTAGATACCTGTTCAGGTGAGCTTCTGAACACTTTTAAGTCTTTCTGTTAGAACAGCATAGCCTGCATCCCAACCGGTATAACTAGGTCTGGGAGATGCCGTACAGACCATTAAGGCATTATATAAGGGTCTGTAAACAATGATTTCTGTAATCGTATAACTCTATGTCTCCCCACCACCCCAATTTTGTCTCCTTTCTTCTAAGCTGTCCCGATGGTCCTTACCAGGGTCAAACATAAGCACCCCATTATGTCAGTGACCTCAATTTCCTAAAGTACCGAGGTTTGACGAAGTCCAGAATCATTGACCTCCAGTTTGTCCTTCATGCCTATATCAAGGGTTCATCTTCTTTTCCAATACCAAACAGCCTCTGTGATGATACAGAGGATAAAGAAGTTTTAAAGTTCTGTTTGTGGTTATCCAAACTTAAGGACTTGTTAAAAAAAAAAAAAAGAAAAAAGATGGTGTATGAGGCATGTGATAAAATTCTTCTGCAATTGTTGATTTTCCTTTAGGGAAAAAAAGTCCAGGCCTCACTAAAGTTGAAGGTTCAGATAATACAAATATGTTTTGGCTCACAATGTGTCAGGGACCAAACATAATTTTGTATTGGTCAACACACCCAGCCAGAAGAATATTCTGATGTATTAAATGTGTCTCTCTATGTAAAATAAAGTCATTGAGCTAATGAAATGAGACCCTGGCCTCTGTGTCTGAGCCCTGGGAGGAAATTAGCCAGTGACAGATGGACCTTTAATTCTGTCTGATAGATATGCCATTTCCATTTCCATTTCTCTCTTTCTACTCATGTTTTCCTCTTACGCGTAATGCCTCTATGTCTTACCTCCTAATTTATGCAAACTCCATGAATTCTTCAAGATTTTGCTCTGTACTTTCCTTAGCCCTAGTTCATCCAGTAAATTTGTAGTACATATCTCTGAAACTATTGAAGTTACTAGAAATTATTCCATATTTCATTAAAACAATTTTTTAATGTTTATTTACTTTTGAGAGACAGAGATAGAGCATGAGCGGGGGAGGGGCAGAGAGAGAGGGAGACACAGAATCCGAAGCAGGCTCCAGGCTCTGAGCCATCAGCACAGAGCCCGATGTGGGGCTCGAACCCACAAACTGTGAGATCATGACCTGAGCTGAAGTTGGACGCTCAACTGACTGAGCCACCCAGGTGCCCCATTCCATATTTCATTTTTACCCACATTAGCTACTTCCCACGTCTTATGTTTTCTCTGAAACTCTTCTTCCTTTAAGCCTACGATAGATGTTTAATAAACAGATTTGAAGCGTGGAGAATTAAAAGATACGGATCAGACATTTTTTTCAATGATATGCAAATTGTCAAGGAAGAACAAAAAGGAAATCTATTTCCCCACTGATTAAAAACAATTCACAAGCATGAATGAATCTGGTCGTCTCACCAAAGGAGTTTTCAAAAAGAAAAGCTTTTGTGAACGGTGAGCTCTGCTATTATGATATTGAGCATAAAGGTCCTCATTTCATTTCACAACCGCATAATTTGGAAATTATTAAGAACGGCTCTTTCTCCACCTTTTTAAATCATGGGTCAACTGAAAACATCACCACGGGTCAACTGAAAACATTGGCATCAGTTTCTCCAGCTCATCCTCCTTGAATGTCCTCACACGAAACACATTTTAAATCATCTTTAGCTCTTGATTTTTAGCTCCATTAAATTCCTGTCAACACATTTTTCTCCTTCATGAAAATTAAAAGACAATTACACTTTCTGGACTGTACTACCGACACAGAAAGAAACTAAGATGGCAAAGTTGTACTAGTATTCAACAAATAACTTGTAGAGTCTCTAAAAGCAGTTCCCCTTCGATGCACATAAGTAGGGGAAGGTGTATTTCAGCAAACAAATGTTCAGGATCCAAGGGAAAGTGGAGTTTATTTGAGGCAGTAATATTTCATCGAGCTTCCGGAGCCACCGATTCAGAACGACCAGTTCCCTTCTAATTGATAGCGTGTTCTTCATGCCAAGCTGCCTGTTCAGCTGAAGGATCCTGCCCTGGGAGAGAATTCATTTGGCTCCTGGAGGAGTCCAGGAAGGAACGAAGTAGGGATTCTGGGATGTGAATTTCAAGCAAAACAAAACGTAACCCAAAACATTTGAGAGAAGGGCTTACGCTAACGTGCCAAATATTTAGAAAAGAATATAATTAATCTACAACACTCCCCTAACACTGCGTTTTGCCATCTCAGTTTCAACTTAAACACACTTGCTCTTAGCAAATAGGAAAATCTTGAAAGAGAAATATATAGGCTAAACTTTGTAAACTCGAAGTGCAAAGTAATGAGAGCATAAGGGAGATAGAAAGACCTTGGGGTAAGTCTATACACAGGCTCCAACTTAGCAGAACCAGTTATTAAATATTTACTCTTTTCCCACTGGCTTAGAAAAATTTCCCTCTGGCAAGATGGGTCTTGCTGTCTGTGATGTGACCTCTTGCCGCGGCCCCACATTCCCAACCCAAGAATGGCAGGCTAGGGGATGAAGGCAGCAGTGACGTTGGCTCCTCCTCCTTCTCATGCCGGTGGCCAGAGGGTGTAAGGAGGTACTCTCAGCAGTTGTTGAGGAAGCCCATGCCCCCCACCCCAGTCCTGTTTAAGCTTTCTGAATCCCTACGGAGATCAATGCCTACACTATTCTCCCTGGGGATTAACGATGGTCTCTTCCCCTGTCCATCCACTCAAATCTATCATGGGATCATCAATCCTTTAAGCTATCCACATTTGCTGGCCCAAGAACAACAGAAACAACTTCTGAGACACGTTGTTAAAAAATTCTCCCCTTCTAACCCTAAAAGGAAAAGTTATACACCCTTTATTTACCATCACTTGGAAATGACGTACAGAGCAAAATTTCTAGATGTGACATTTTTCCCTTATGATTTTACACTTGAAACCATTTTGGGGATGAACACCCTTGCGACATGTATGATACAAACTCCCTCCTGCCTCCTGAGAGTGTGCAGGACAAATGCCTAGCCTCTGCCTCCTGATGTGCAGCCGTCATTAGGAACATCAGGCCTTTCCTGCTGGGTGGTAACTCAGGGACGGTTGGGTGAGGCACACAGGGCAGGCTGTAGGGTCTTCTCCTCGTTGCTCTTGGGCTGTGACACTTCTTGACTTCCTGAATTGCTTTTTACATTTCTTTTTTCTGTCTTCTCTCCACCATTATTGTTGATGCCTGCTTTTTTTTTCTTTGGCAAAATCGTTCAGTTCTTTAATTTTTAGTCTATTGTACAATATGGAAGCTCGGGAAAACAGTTACTTTCATTTCCGTGAGACAATCTAGGGTAAGACCCTATGCATATGGGTCTGTCTAATCCAGAAGGTTCTTGGATCTTAGTGTATATTCGGGGACACTTGCTGACCCTTCTCTCCTGCTTCCTCATTGACTGTCCTGCTTTTTAGTTGTGTTTCCGTCACTCGGACTGTTGGACAAGCACTTTCCATATCTATAATGTACGTGGTTGTGACCAGATATTTTGTCTTTGGGCTCAGGGTCTGTGTGAACCAGGGACCAAGAAGGTAAAGCAAATCTTACCTTTTTGTAGAGACTCCTCAGATCTCGGTACTGCCACATGCTGTTTAGGACCTGAGATGCGGCCTTGACCACTTTTGGAGAGTGTCTGATAGAGAGAAGACACGTAAGATGGTAAAAGTGGGGCAGCTGGGTTTCAGACTGACACTGACTCATCAGGATCCAGCGTTTACAGAAAAAAACCACATCCGTATGGCCTCCCGGCTCTTTCCCTCCCACCCCTGGGAGTGCAAAGGATGGTCCACCAGTCTCCAACCTTCCTCTCATCGGCACACCCATGAGGGCAAGAGATAGGAACACAGGCAGTTTGGCAAAGAATTTTCAAAATGCAAAAGGAAGAGCACAGCCTTGAGTCCGAATGCAAATTTAGTGTTTGACTATAAAGGGGAAAAGAAAGAAGAGAAACACACCGATCGGGAAGGGCCCGATCTGGGAGTTTTTTTTTTTTTTTTTTCAACGTTTATTTATTTTTGGGACAGAGAGAGACAGAGCATGAACGGGGGAGGGGCAGAGAGAGAGGGAGACACGGAATCGGAAACAGGCTCCAGGCTCGGAGCCATCAGCCCAGAGCCCGACGCGGGGCTCGAACTCACGGACCACGAGATCGTGACCTGGCTGAAGTCGGACGCTTAACCGACTGCGCCACCCAGGCGCCCCAAGATCTGGGAGTTTTAATGGCAGTGTTGTGTAATATCTGTGTAGCAGCAAGAAGAAAAAAAAAATTTCATTTTCTCAGCTGAAGCTTGAGAGCATGTATAGTGTTGGTTCCGCATGCCTACGTGATTACAGGGAGCTAGCTGCTCTCCATTTGCCGATGGTACCACGCACAAGGGACTGGCAGCAAAGGAAGATGTGTGTGCGTGCTCTCTCACATGTATATACAGGAAGGCATAAGCATCTAGAAGTAAAGCCCTGTGTACAATTAAAGTTCCATCCTGCGGACCATTTTTTTTTTGAGTCATGGCTTTAAAATCGTTATGAAACACACAACAGCTAAATATTTCGACTTTTGGGTCGGTGCCAACTTGTGTCTCCAAACAGACACGAGGTCAATAAATCTGTGTTGCTTTAATATGATCACATTCTTGGAAGTTATTTTGGCTGGTGGTGGCGGAAGCTATTAATTAATTACCTGTAGATTCTTTATTCTAATGGCCAATTCCATAAACAGCTGCACCCTCTAGTGGCTGTTAGTGCCACTGTGGCCTGTCTCAGGGGCTGGCGCATTTTTCTATAAAGGGTCAGATAATGAATATACGCCACTTGGAGGGCCATATGGTCTCAATCACAGCTACTGAGCCCTGTGACTGTACCGCTAGAGGAGTCATAAATAATACATCAGCGAGTGGATGTGGCTGCGTTCCAATAAAATGTTATTTACAAAAGCAGGCAGTGCAAAAGCAGGTGGGATGTGGCCCCTGGCCTGTAGATTGCTGACCCCTGGTCTATGTGTATGGTGACTCCTGGAGTCGGGCAGGACATAACCATTCATGAGGACTCCAAGGTGAACCCACCTGAAGCTGACCAGTGGGGCAGTGGCCCAAAGATTCCCAGAAGAGAAAATCTGAGTTGGGACCAAAAAAGCCTTTGAAATAAACTGGCTTTTGAAATAAATAGAAAGTGAGCAGATGGTTAGATGGGATGAGGTTGAGGTTGGATAGGAGAGCCGGAGTAAGTGGAGGTTGTGAGGACATACATTTTGTGATGGAATTATGGGATGTTAATACATGGTCAATTAAATGTCTGCTATTTTCCTGGGTCTTCAAGTTTGCGATTTAGACCAAGTAAGTTGAAGGTTCCTTCATCCACTTGCTTACTGGTGACAGTAACAGTCATGCTTACTATCTTTATCGCTGAGATGAAATACAATTTTGGCTGTGTTTGAAAACACTAGTTATATCATGCGTTTTCAAAAGAAAAAAAAGTAGCGTTCTCATAAATTCAATTTTTTTCACTATGAAAGATGAAACGTATATACGTAACACACATATTTTCCTTTACTAAATGCATGGTTGCTAAATGATTTCAGAATTTTTGTTAGTATCATGCGCTACATGTAATATTAGGTTCCTTTGATTTAAAGACAGAGAATTTAGAGCTTTTCATGGATACAGGTACAGGTGTGTGTTAGCCTTATATAATCAATGCAGGTTATATATATATATAATCAATCAAAGGTTAAATGTTATGTGTTGCTGTATTTTATCATTGTTAGCTAGATATTTGTCCATGACAACAGTTAAGCAACTCTTGAGGAACATGCATTAATATTCAGATAGTGGTAAGGTAGTCGAGACACAGCATGCAAAAATTCTTCAGAAACTGTAATTTTTTTGTTTCTCCTTCTTGCTTGGGTACAAAATAGAAAAAGACTACAAATGTGTAATGAATAGCAGGTTTTAACCTTTCAATTAAAATGCCAACACATCACAGGGTCATAACATGCGAAGGTCAAAGACACATTGCTTTTTTTATACTTTAATTTTGACCCATGACCCATCACTAGACTGATACCATAGCAACTTGTACTTGAAAGACTATAACTATTGATTGAAGGACTGAACAATTGAGTGTTTCTAATGTGACAAGTGATTATAACCTAAGCCGCAATACACAGTTCCTTACTGACAAGTAACGGTTGAGACTGTTAATGGCTTTTCTGTCTCATGACAAAATGCAGTGACACAGTCAACCCTATTTCCTATATAATTGTGAAATTTAGAAAAAAAAACCCAAATGTACTTTTGAAAGAGACAGATGTGACAGGATGTCCATACTGGGTGTTTAAAATGACGTGAAAAGAATAATTTAAGTTATCCAGAATTGAAAATAGTAAGTATGAGATTCCTATAAGAGTCATTGATGATTATACCACACCTGATCTTCACCAACGCTGTCAAATGAGGGGTGACTGCACCGTTGGTGCAATTCATCGTGGGTGTTGAGCACAGCTACTCAAAGCCGCAGGACCCCAGAACCCCAGTGTTGGTGGTTGTATTAGCAAAACACAATGAGTTGTACAGTTCAAACAGACTATGACTGGCAACTCACCAGTCCGACTCATTAATGGCATGGCATACTTTAAATTTCTGTATATTTAGAAATAAAACACATAAATACAGAGTTGTAGAGAGGCATGTTTTTCCACCTGTGCCTTATGCTATCTGGAATTTACAAATCAGTTTTGAATTAAACTTATTTCTGTTAATAATTTTTAAGGACATTTTAGGGAGGGCAGATCTGTACAAAGTAACCAGAGCAAACTGCTCTCCCTCCATTTTTCAATGATTAATCCCCAATTTTAAAAACTCTCCTTTCAATAAAGAATTTCTATTTTGTTAAAACTTGTCGAAGGCCTTGGGAATCTCAGCGCCTAATGTCATAACAGAATCGAGTGATAAGTGGTGAGTTTAGTGCTAAGATTCAGAACAGTTCTTCTGGATTCCTTTTAAGGACGGTGAAAAGCAGTAACCAAATTCAAGTGTAGGTGGGAGATGAGGCTATCTGCGGTTATAAAAACCTTGTTTTGATCCCCAAATTAGTCATTATATAAAAAAGAGGTAAATCATGTGGAAGGATGGCTGAGATAAGCAGGAAAGTAGGGAAGATGCCTGACTCAACCCAGTTCAGTACTGCTTATTCAACTCGTGTGTAAATCTCGACTATTAACTTTGGAAAAAAAGGGCAAGGGCTAATGAAATGAAACACATGACTTTCTTAAAAGAAATTTTCAGTCAAGTCAAAGGACAGTTATGAGATCATCTATAGTGAAAGAAACTTCCCATTAACAATAATGAAGATTGGACAAGACCTATCAGGACCATTTTCTGGATTGGCATTGTGGATACACACTCTTTCATGGATGGTTTCCTGAAATGATTTTTAAGTTAGTTTCACCAAGTAATTTTCTTTGACCATAGGACTGATAAAAACACCTCTTCTCTTTAAGGCCCATTTAGTGATGTATGCTACAGTAAGGATGTTCACACAATTGGAAGAAATTAACACACGCCAGACCACCCTCAAACTCCCTATTCTTAAATTTCAGAGAAAAAAAAAATCTTTGAACATCTCATGAATATGCACAAATAGCTCAGAATGTTTGGTGGACTATGGTTTTATTGTGTGTGTGTGTGTGTCTGTGTGTGTGTGTGTGTGTGTGTGTGTGTGTTTGCTTAAAAAAGCATTGACATATTAAGCTCTTAATGTTCAAAACGGGTAAGCATTTCAATTAGACATTCCAAAGTTCTACGGAAGCTCTATGAAGAAGAAAACCATGTGGTTTCGTGTTTATGTAGAATAGCAATCTATTTTAAGTACAATATAATAACATACAATTCAAGCCAACTATCTATATGGCACCATTACTGCATGAGTCCAGTGGGGCTTCTCTACTTGATATAAAAAAGTATTCGAATCCTAATACTAAGTTGTTGACTGAACCTATTTGAAGCTCTTAACCAGAAACCAGAGACTTCTTTTATTATACAATGGTAATATCCTGAATCAAATGAAATAATGAGAGAGAATTTCCAAATAGTCTCAAAGTACATCCTTTACAGCCCTTAATAATGGAAGAAAAATTATTTAGCGTTTAGTTGTGAAGAAATGGGGGGAGGCAGGGAGTGGAAAGTCAAGAAGTAGACCTTGGGTAACAAAAGGTTTACCCTCTTAATCTCATTGATTACATTGAGGGATTTCTAGGAGGCAAATTTAATTAAGGTTTGTGAATGTTTCTGTAACATTGACAGCTTGCTGATAGACTGACACCCTGGCTTCTGAAGATATGTTTTGGTTGCATGCAGCAAGATACCATTGATTCTTAAGTCAAATGGGGGACATTTCCATTTCCTGGAAGTGCAGCTCGTCAGACACAGAGCCTTATCTTTCTTTATTGCACTAGTGTAGAAGTCCTTCCTTACCACCATCCCCTCTGCAGAATTTCTATTCATGCTTTAAGACTTGATTATCACTTCTTGGATGTTAGGGCAGCCCCTTCCTCAGTTTTAGACTGGAAAGGACAGGCACAGTGACTTGTTAAACTAAACTATTTGCCTCAAACGCATGGCTAGCATGGAAGGATGGCAGGTCAGCAATGGGTTCTTGGGCTCCCCACTGTGTGCTCCCTCGCCCTCCTTGCATGGCTTCCTCTGTACAGCTGACGAGGGAAAGGGCACAAGGATGTGGATCCATCATGAACACCCGGGCCTGCAACCACAAAGGAACAGCAACCACAAAACACTTTCACATACTCAGGTTAAGCGGGTTGTCTTTCCTAGTGTATGCATGCTGGATTGTCAAATGTATCTCTCCAGTATCATGGCAGTCACCAAGACTACCAGTTAAAATCAGCTTTCACCATGGGTGGGAAGCCTGGAAACCATTTGCTATTTCCCTCCTCTTGAATATCCAGTGACATTCAACAATGTTACCCATAACCAATGGATGCTGCGTATACTTAGAACCAATTCTACCAATACCCATTCCACAGTGATATGAAGTTACCGTCTGACTTACTTATCTCCTTTGCTTTTGGAGATGCCAACCAACTTCTCGATGCCGCCCGCATCCCGTAAGGCCTTGGCGTTCTCCATGTTCTTGGTGATCACTTCGTGCAGGGTGCAGCAGACGGCTGTCACCGTGTCATCTGACATGGCCTTGCTCGCTGTGTTGTTGCTGTTGTTCCCACCTGGAAGCCTGTGGACGAGGTCTCGCATGGCATATTTGCCTTTGGGAGAAAAAAGTCAAGGGAAGAATTGAAATGAGGCCAAAATGGAAGACCAGGGGAGAGGCGATGGTATGAACAGGGGAGAAAAACCGAGAACACAAGAGGCCACATTAATGCGTTATTGTCTGTTTCTCATCACTGAAAATTCTCTGTTGGGTCACTGCTCTGTTGGGCATGAGTCACTGAACCCATACAGAGAACAGTTTTTCCCTCATGGTGAGTGCATGGACTTTCTGATGGATGTGGGATAGAATTTCTGGGCAAGTTAGTCCATGACTGTAAGCCTAGGCTTTTTAAACCTGTACAGCAAGAACACTAACGGTACCTATCTCACAAGGCTGTTGCAAAGATTAAATGAGTAAAAGTGTGTAAAGTATGTAAAACACGAGGAGTACTGAGGATGTGGGACTCTGTAGATGTGAGCTGTCAATGGTTCTTGAAGTCAAGAAAACATATGGTATTCGAACATCACATCAAAAATACCTTGATGGGAACTACGTTGGGGCCTGAACTATTTAACAAGTCAGAGTCAAACCACAACATATGGACAGCATGGTCATATACATAACTTCCGAGTTCTGGCCCTTATAAAACAAAGAGAAACACTCAAAGCAAGGGAGAGAGGCTTTACAAATGATGTATAACTAGGTGTCCTTGGAACTCTGGTAACCCAATGATCCACCTGTCTCTCTGATGGGATTTATTGTCTGGTTCTACCATTTAACACTTACTAATTTGACACATTCCCCTTTGTGTGAAAAACAAAGAAAATAAAATCCAACTTTGCTTCCTTAATTTGCTTCATCATTATTAATCTTGCTGCTCTCAATGATAGAGGTACTTATAATGACATCTTTATGGAGTACTTTTAGTTTACAAAGCATTTTAGGCATTACCAATAACCCTGCAAGACATTAATTCATCCCACCTGCAGCTTCCAATTCTGTTCCATTAATTTACTTCTGGAACTAAGTAAATGAGTGCCTGTAGCAAAGTTGGCTGTTCTTAAATTTTTCAGATGGAATTGGCACGTGTCCAAATTAAAATCCCTTCCTTGTCTCCTATCCCCCAATTAGACATATTTAGCTAGCTCCCGAAAGCCATTTTTTTTTTCAATGTTTATTTATTTTTGGGACAGAGAGAGACAGAGCATGAACGGGGGAGGGTCAGAGAGAGAGGGAGACACAGAATCGGAAACAGGCTCCAGGCTCTGAGCCATCAGCCCAGAGCCCGACGCGGGGCTCGAACTCCCGGACCGCGAGATCGTGACCTGGCTGAAGTCGGACGCTTAACCGACTGTGCCACCCAGGCTCCCCCCGAAAGCCATTTGAAATACTTTTCCTCCATACATGTCCCTAAAGGATAGCCTCTTCTGCTGTTTAATCCTCCAGTGCGAGGTGCCTGGGGTAAGGAAAGGGAACTCATGGGAGAAGGCAATGGCATCTCCATTCCAGGCATTAATAAATAAAACATAGGCCCATATCATTTTGGTATCTGCTCTTATCCTATGTTTAGGTGGCTTATTTTAGCTTGGGCCAAAAAAAAATGCTGATGTCTAAATTACTGAAATAGGAAAATGTCTTCGTTCACTTGATGGTAGCTGAGAAGTATCTGACAAAAATGCTTTGCCTGAAAACCCCCAAGCGTAGCATATTTATTTTCTAAAGACAATATCTAAAATAGTTAGGAGAAGATCCTTTGTGCATGGGCAGTTCTCTGAGCAACTTGCTGTATGTATTTATCATTAAATCACACTCGGCTCTGGCTAAGATTTTCCTTTTGCTGAGCTCAGCATGCCGGGGCTTCATCAGGTCATTAACCCCCAGAGATTATATCGTAAGGCAAATCTGAGTTCCACAGATGTGAGAAGATGGATGAATGGGGGGATGGATTAAAATTTTTCTTCCTAAGGGAAGTGATAGAGGAAGGGAACAGAAAGCTATTTCAATCACTGGGCATACAGGGGCATTCACGCTCCTGACGGAGTATGGAAGACTGTTTGTGACCTTGAACATCACTGAGGTTGAAAGCAAAAATGAAAAGAGAGAGAAGATTCGGCTGCAGCATTTTCCAGTTTTTGTTGTTACTGTCAGTTAAAAAGTTATCTCAGATAAATTTGAAGGTGTGTTTCATTTTGCATGCTTTCCAAATCCAAGAATGAAATACAAGGTGTCCCCATAACATTCAGGTGACACAGGCAACTGCTTCCTCCCAGAGCAGCCTCCCCCGCCTGCCCCACGACGCTGTATAAACACTGTTTTCCATTCCATGGAGAATGATAGGAGTCACCGCCATATATTACCTACCATCACCTGTCAAGGAAACCCATTGGAATGATTTTATTTCTAATATTTCCAATACAGTTCACTGACATTTCACTGGACAATTGGAGATTTTTCATATATCTATTTATTAGTCTATGTGGAGGGATACATTTTAGTCTAAATTTTTGACCATCCAAGTGAAGAAACAAATCAAGTAAAATCACTCCATAGAGGGGAAAACCTCTGGACAAAGTTTGTTAATTCTCTAAAGGGCATACAATTGTTTTAGCCTTCGATTATGCTTCTGAGAAAAGATGTCTTCTCATACTAGAACTTGAATCCTATCATCATGTGAAATTTGCATAGCAAGAATAGCTGTGTGTATGTGTGTGTGTGTGTGTGTGTGTGTGCATGTGCGTGTGTTCAGAAACTTGGAGGCTAATTGGGTGGGGAAAAGAGAAAACAGGAGCATAGAATAATTACAGCCATAAGTGACCTTGTGTGGCAGGCTAATAACAGAAGTCCAGGGAAGGGAGACTGCACTGGGGTTACCATGGAGGGACTGACATGGGAAGTCAGCATTCAGATTTTGTTCTGTGGGTTAGGGGAGCTCCAAGGCCAAGTTGATATCTTACAAAGAGAATTCTGGTACCGCAAGAAGGAAGGTTTCAGAATAGAAAGACTGAAGTTTGGAGAAACATGTAGTCTTTCTCTTGACAATAAAACTCTGTTTCTCTGAACTTCTGCTGAAATTCTGAGCATTACAGCACAAGGTGGCTTTTGCCTGTAATTATTCAATGTCACATATTTTTTTTGTTCCCTAAGTTTCTAAACATTAGAAAGAGCTAAGAAGACTTTGCTGCTACCAATAAATAAGAGGTACTCTGTCTTCTGCCCCCCAGTCAAGCTTCTGGGTCTCTGAGGTCTGAGGTTTCTTTGGAGGTAAAAAGAGTTAATCCTCAGGTGCCTGGGTGGCTCAGTTGGTTACGCATCCGACTCTTGATTTTGACTCAGGTTCATGAGATGGAGCCCTGCATCAGTAGGATCTGAGCTGACAGCATGGAGTCAGTTTGGGATTCTCTTTCTCCCTCACTTTCTGCGCCCCCCCCCCCCAGTTTGTGCTAAACAAACAAACAAACAAACATTAGAAAAAAAGGAGTTCTTGAGATTCTCTCTTTCCCTCTCTCTCTGCCCCTCCCCTGCCTGCACTCTCTCTCCCTCTCTCTAAATCAATAAACATTAGAAAAAAAGGAGTTAACCTTCTTTAGGAACTAATTTTTGTGCCACAGAGGCAATGAGAAAAAGTTGTGAGGCAGGTGAGCCAAACTGCAAGTTTTTCAGTCTAACACCACGAAGGGGATCAGGTTGGTTTTTGTTTTGTCTCAGTTTGGTTTCAGAGACAGAGATGGACAGAGGGAAGGCTCTTCACAGGCTAAGGAGGAGCGTGGCTGGATGCCCAGATGGATGGCATCTCCTTAGGAACCTGGAGGAGGAATACTGGAGGTTCTTCTTGGGTCTGGAATGTCAAGGACACCTGGAGACCAGCGGCACCCTCGTGGTGCATTGGAATGCATGTGGGTGCAAAGGAGATCATAAGCAGACAGGTGTCACCTTGGCATTGAGTCTGGCAGGAGGCACGGGAGCTGAGGCCACGGAAAGGCCAGTGGCATCAGCAACCACTGCAGAGAGAGCCACTCCCCCTTTCTCTGGATTTGATTGGCTTAAAAATAACTGAATGGGACGGCACAGACTGAAAGTCACAGAATGATTCATTCATAGAATGATTCAATTAACAGGCAACTGTAATATTTTGGAACAAAAACAAGGACTTGTGACCACAAAAAGGTGGCTGTGGGTCAGGGACAGGACAGCAGCCAGCCATCATGGAGAATCCCAGGATGAAACTGACCGCGAAACACTGGTGGTGGTGGGGGAATGGAGGAAAAAGGGGTCAGAAGTCTCTCGCTGGAACAACGAGGTGGGTCGTGAAAACCAAGTGAATTTAAAACTTTTAATAATAGCGGACAAGTTAGAGTCTATCATACTTTCTTCGCACAAAGAAAAACACGCAGAATTATTTAACCTGATATGTGATACGGGAGAACAACACAGCAAGGTTCCATCAGGGAGACCCCACTGGTCATCAGGTTCCAAAGACGCCCAGATTTGTGAAAGCCAAGTGGATGCCTTGGCCTGCCTCCGTTTGCAAGAACTGTGCTCCCCAGTAGCCACTGTCGTAGAATCGCATGTGAGAAAAAGAAAAGAAAAGCACGCTGCTCCCTCAGATTGAAACAAAACAAAACACAACTCCGCCACCACCAACACCACTGCCAATGAACAGATTGCTCCGTTTTGCTCAAGTTCCTGGTAGAGACGCATACGTGGGTCGTTTCTTCTAAGTTACCTCGTCTCTGATGAAAATAACACTATTTCTGGTGTGCAATTCTGGTATGAAATGACCAGCGGAGATATCATGAGTGTGTAAGAAATACCCCGAGTTTCCATCGATGACAGACTAACTGTAACCTTGTAACTTTGATACCCTTTCCTCCATGCACCTGTGTGCCTACCTGTGTCTCTGTGTGTTCCCTTTAAACACTGAAGTGTTTAAGATCTGTTGTGGGGTGCCTGCGTGGCTCAGTCCGTTAAGCATCCCACTCCTGATTTTGGCCCAGGTCATGATCTCACAGTTTGTGAGATGGAGCCCTGAGTCAGGTTCTGTGCAGACAGCATGGA